ATGCTATGTTTGTGGTTCATGTTACTAGCTATAAATTTGAATGTGAAGGAAAATGTTCCCATGGTTTCACTTCTGAGTGATTAATTCACTAGTGACTATAGCACCTCTAAGAGCAGTGTGGTCTAATGGCATATAGAGGGTATTTGGAGAATTTATCCTGGCCTTGCCTGTTAGCATCCATGAGACCTTGGGCTGGTCATTTAGCTTTGGTTAATCTCAATTTCCTTCTCTTAAAAATGAGGAAGATGGAATAATCAATCTCTAGTGTCTCTTCTAGCTTTCAGTATACAACTTGTCTTCTACCCCTTTTCTAACACTGTATTTGTGAACCTTCAGTAAGTCATTATTGCTGGCTTATGACAAAGTATACAAGCCAATGAGAAACCCAACCTTTCCTTAGAGATCTTTAAGCAATGGTTAAATGACCCCTTGCTGGGAATTTCACAATAGCGACTCTTCTGTGGTTATAAGTAGGACTAGGCAGGTAGATGGCACAGTGGACTTGGATGCAGGAGTCAGAGTCAGCAAGACCTGAGTTCAAACCCTGCCTCAGATTCTTACTTTGTGACCTTGAGCAAGATGCTTCCTCTCTATGTCTCAGTTTCCTTATTTATAAAATGGGTATGATAATAGCATTTACTTTGTCAGATTGTTGAGACTTAAATTGATATGTAAATGCTAGCTATTACTATCCTTGTCCTTGTCTTTGTTGTTGTGGTGGTGAAATGCCATTGAAGTCTTTTCCAACGCTGAGATTCTGCAAAATTATTAAAATATTAAGCCTTTGTGAAATCTACCATAATGTTTTCACATATTTAATACCAGGAGCTCTATACATCCTTTTGGTCTTATCCCAGTATTCACCAAAATATTTACATCAGATTCCCAAAGATTTAGCTATCTACCTCTTTAAATTAATTCTACTCAGTTTTCTTTGAATTTTATTTGCAACTATATGGCTTAATTAATTTTTGTTTAAGGAAGTTTCCTTTTTTTTAAACACTATTTCTTAAGTCAACTTTACAACATTTGAGCGTACCAGCCATACACAAACAGCAGGCATGTTCCCCTCATACCAGATGACAGAAACAGACAGGGATATTGACAGCGTTAGATCTCTGCTTTCTTTTAATTAATAAGTCAACTTTTATGAAGAACCTACTATGTGCAGGGCACTGAGGGCCCAAAGGCAGAAGCAAAGCACTCCCTGTTCTCATGAGACTTACATTCAGATGACATATGTACTGCATATAATTATACATGCTATAAACACAATATGCCAGCTATATTTTGGAGTTGATGTAGAAAATGCATAACTTAAAATAACACATTGAATTTGGTAAACTGTATTATCCCTAAGGGAAGAGAGCCAAACATTCAGTGTGAACAAACATGATTTGTATCATCTTTGCATAATTCATAGGAAGAAAAATTACCCCCAAAAAAATCTGTTTTGAAGTTGCTGTGTTTGGATCTGCAATTAATCCTCAAGATATGCTAGTTGTCTTGAAATATTTGAAGGGTTGTCATGTGTAAATAAAGGGATATTAGATGCATTCTGATTAGTGCTACAGGGGCAATAAAGCAGGGAGTGGGGAGCTGCGAGAAGGCAATTAGGCTAAATGTTAGGAAAAGTTTCCTAACAAACACTAAGGACACAATGGTGCATTTAGTAAATGCTTCATATATCTTTGCTGCATTGGATCAAATTGGCCAAAAATGGAATGCCTGGCCGCAGGAGAGAGTTGGCTTCTCCCCATGGAGGTTTTCAAGGGAAGCCTGTAAAATCACTTGTGGGGGATGCTGATTAGAGGGCTTGCTTGTAAGTAGAGGTTGGAATTAATGGCTACTGAGTCCCCTTCCAACTAAGATTTTGTAAAATGAAAATTCCAGATTTTATTGTAATTGTAATTTTCCATTGTATGACTAATTTTTTCCCATTAAACTTGTTCATGAAAGAGAGTTCTTAACCAGTGGTCTGTGAACTTTTTTATTTATTTTGACCACTGTGTTTCAATAGATTTTGTTTCCTTTGCAATCTTCTCTATTTTATTCCATGCATTTAAAAAAGCAACAACAAGCTGAGAAGTTTGGGGAGCAAAGGGGCTGCATGAAGATTGAAGAAATACCGTGGTCAGCAGAATATCAATTGTAAAGAATTAAGAAAATTGGTTGACATTTTGGCCGATGGTCTTAGTGGAGAAAAGCAAAATGAGAAATCCCCAAGCCAACACTCAGAATGCCCAGAAACTGTTCCCTAATCTGTTTCCTTGGAAGATGAATTTCAGATTTTATTTAAGTAGACAATGTGTCCATATTTTTGGTTAAGCAGCCAAGGGAATTGTATTCATACAACTTTACTGTGCTAGACTTCAGCATTAAGACACAGAGATGCACACTGGCAAGTCACTCACTGAAGAGAAGATGTCAGCTCTGAGCAAAATTGAAATATAATGAGAATAGTTGATGTTCACTCAGTGCTTTTATGTTATCTTTCATCCAGCATTTGTCTTGATCCTTACCTCTATAATATATGTAGTTGGGATAGACTTATACCCATTTTTAAGTTGAGCACACCGAATCACAGAGAGGTTAAACAATTTGTCCAGGGTCACCCAGTGGTAAAGAACAGAGTTGGGATTTAAACTCCTTTTTTTTTCTGACTCCAAAGCCAGGGTGCTTTCCAGTACACTAATGCATGCTCTCCAACCATAGCATAGATCTACAATGAGCATTTTTGTTACTCAGGGTAAGTCGGCAGAAAACAGTCCCTTAAGGGATTTTTTAAAGACCAAGACGCAGTTAGTGGGAAAGACCATAGCAGATACTATCAGGATGTTACTAGGACAGCTGCTACATGAGGTTTGGGAGGGACCTCCCAAATATACCTAGGGGAAGGTATATACTGTGTAATTCTATGATCCTAGAAACACTGAATTTCTATGCAGGACTGGTATCAATTTTAGCCGTGTCTCAAAAATGCTCCCATGCAATGTCATATGTCCTGTCCAGGAGAAACAGGAGGGGGTTTATGCTAACATAGTTTGTCCTTTGAGTTGATCTCTGAGGGAAAGAACACAAATAAGATGCTATGTTTGTGGTTCATGTTAGTAGCTGTAAATTTGAATGTGAAGGAAAATGTTCCCTAGGTAAAGCATTGGGTATATGCTGGGCATAGAGGCAAGAACAAAACATCACCTGTCTTCACAGAACTTCTAATCTCTTGGGGTGTAGTAATTTCAGGAGGGAAAGAACTCCAGAAATGGAGGGGGCACTGTGATGAAAAACTCTGAGTGGGAGATAATTGAGAGTACCCTTGAAGGGAAGCTTAGGTATCAAAGAGGAGGGACTGAGGAACAAATATATTCTAAATCTATTGAACACAAGGTGGTTTCATTCCTTTACTCCTGGAGGTTCACTAAATGCTAAACTCCTAGGGGTTCTTTCTGGTAGCAGATAACATACATATTGTGGCTAGAGAATCCCTAGGTGTGAAGTCTGGCTGGAATATAGAGTGTTGAAATGGGATTGATATGAAATAGGTCTAGAAAAGTGGTTTGTAACCAAATTATGAAAGACTTTTAATAACACTACAAAAATGTGAGCAAATCTTAATTAGTGACTCATTTCCCCCTAATTAACAAATATTTCCTTTTGGGTACCCACTGGGTACCAGCTATTCCCCATAAAACTTATGAGCTGCAGTATATCAACATGATAATTTAATTTCTATATTGATATTACTTTGTAATTGACAAGTTCACTGTGCACTTTTTATTTGAAAAAGAACCTTAATATTTTTAATGTATTTTATGTTGTAAATTTAATGATCAGTAACTTGAATTATACAAGTAAAATAAGAATATTTTATAAAAAAGAACTTTCAATAGTTAATTAAACAAATGTACATATGCATAATTTTAAATGATAATAAAATATTTTCATTTTTATCATCTTCTACATTTCCTTTTGGTTTCTTCTGTTCTGACTTTAGTAGGTATTAATTCTATACTAAGCCACTTAATATCTTTGTGTCTTAATTAATCCCTAAAACATAGCCACTAGTTCATAGACCTGACAAAACCTGTGTTGGAAGAAGAACTTCCCGTACCAGGAGGTTCCTACATTGGAAATCACATATCACTAACATAATTGAATATTAAATAAATATGCCTTGCTACATTTGCTTTCTTTATTTGGAAGGAGGAATATTTTAAGGAATCTGTAGAAAAACAACAGATCTGTAATGGTAGTTACAGATTTTCAAGTGGGAACTCTCTGATTAGTTTTATTTTAAAAAAACATGTAAAAACATAGGCTATGTCCAAGATGATAACTGGATTCTGTATCTTAAGCCACTCAATAGGTTTATGTCAGAGCTGAAAAGGGACCATGGAGACCATATAACCTTCCCCCTCTAATTATATAAATGACAAAACTCAGGCCTTTATAAAACCAAACACTTAGCAGTGTTTAATCTTTTTCCCATTTTTAAATTAAAAATTCAATTATTCCTATCATTATTTATATTTTCCCTTGATGAACTGACACTATTTTTTTTTGGTGGGGGGGAGAGGGTCAAGCAATGTTTTATTCTATTTTTATGAACAGGATAGCAGGCATGCAACTAGGAATTAAAAAAAGAATACACACTTTCATAATCTATATGAAACAGTATAGATGGATTGTAACAAGATTGTAAGGGGATTATAATAAATAAAATCTTCCTTTGTAAAGTCAGGGGAAAAAGGGGAAAATAATTTAACTTTATTCCCATTTCTCTTCCTTTGCCATGCTCTCTCTCTCTCTCTCTCTCTCTCTCTCATTGGCTGTTTTAGTGCACAAGAATCCTCTCAACTTGTAATCTAGCTCAAATGGGACAAAAAAGGACTTTGCAAACCTGTAAAGCACTGTATAAACACTGGATATTTTGAAGCATGTGTGACTTTAGCTGTGAAAACCCCTCCCCTGTCTAACACTTGCCTCCTTTGTGTTGACAGAGAGTCACATCCTGGAGGATGTCAACAAGTGTATCATTGCTCTAAGAGACCAGGATCTTGACAATTTAGACCGTGCGGCTGGTGCGATCAAAGGACGAGCTTCAAGAGTCGCTCACATCGTTATGGGAGAAATGGACAGTTATGAGCCTGGGGCTTACACTGAAGGAGTTTTGAGGAACGTTGGCAACCTTACCAATACCGGTAAATCCTCAATTCTGATGCCAGTTGATTTTCCTCTCTCATTGTTCTTGTACAATATTCATCCAGTATCAAAAGAAGAGATATCTGTGGCCTATGTTATGTGTTCTGTTATAGATGACAGCTCTATCTAGTACACAGCTGCATCCCATGGTAATGGGATGATTGTGTATAAAGAAATAAATCATCACCTTCTTGATATGATGTACTGCCTTCTATGGAACATCAGTGATCATAGCTTTGGAATGACAAGGGACCTTAGGTGACAATTAGTCCAATCCCCTCACTTTACAGATAGGTAAACTGAGGTCAAGAGAAGTTAGGTGATTTGGGGATACTTCTGATTGACAGGCACTTGTATCCTTACATAAAGCCAAATTTCCCTCTGCAGTTTCCATGTATAATTTCTAATTCTACCCTCGGGGATCATGAAAAAAAAGTGAAGTCAGGAAGTATCTATTTGGTGCTTACTAAGAGCTTGACACTTTGCTCAGAACTGAGTATATAAAGAAAGATAAAAATAATATTGTTCCTCAAGGGGCTCCCAGTGTGAAGAGGGATACACCATGCAAACAACTATGTGCAAATAAGGCAGATTAGAACTAACCAACAGAGGGGTAGGCCCTAGTATTAAGGAGGATTGCCATCTCTCCGCCATCCTGCCAGTCTTCTCTTTTCCAGACTAAGCTCCCCAGCACCTCTAACAGACCCCCATTGGCATGGCCTTATGGCCTTTCACAATCTTTGTTGTCTTTACTAAAGTTGGCCATGGGGAACTGAACACAGCAGGGTAGTCGTGACCGAACCAAGGCAGAATGCAGCAGGCTTATTTGTCACCAAGGAGGTGACTCCTTGGTGCTATGTCCACCCTTCTTCATCTAGCCTAAGCATATAATAGCTTTCTTGGCTCCTGTCATGTGTGTAGGCTGGCTAGGCATATCCAACTTTTTCTTGGACAATCTCTACATAGTTCAATATTAAACTCTTTCGCACATGGAGTGGAAAGAATATTCAAGAAGGAAATGGAAGGCCCAGGCTTTCGACCTGCCCGTACCAATACCTAAGTGCTTGGTTTTACAAAGGCCTGAGTTTTGTCATTTATATAATCAGAGGGGAAAGGCTGTATGGTCTCCATGGTCCCTTTTCAGCTCTGACATAAACCTACCTAGTAACTTAAGATACAGAATCCAGTTATCATCTTGGACATAGCCTATGTTTTTACATGTTTTTAAAATAAAACTAATCAGCGAGTTCCCGCTTTAAAATCTGTAACTACCATTACAGATCTGTTGTTTTTCTACAGCTCAGGATTAAACATTATCTTCACTTTCAAAATTTCCTCATTATTAAAACTTCCTTTAGAAACTTCAGAAAGTTTTTTAATCCATAGAGATTCTTTTTCTCCTCTCCATTGTGTACTCTATATAACACAATCAGTATGAATTTTATGAGTCACCAAATTGAAACTTTCTACCTGCCAACACTTATACTTCCTGTAAAATCCTCAAGTGGAATTAGTTTCACTTGATATTGGATTTCCTAGTCATCGTGATATTACTGAATAGATCTTTTACTGACTCTTGGATTTTTTTTTAAGTTTGAACTTTAAAATTTAAATTCTCAACCCACCAGATAGCTTTTTTTCCCCTTGTTCTTCCCTTTTTTTTCTGGTCTGTTGAGAATGCGTTACATATGGCAGAAAAGTTCTCTATCCAATTAATGGAAGCAATGAAGAGGATGAGAATGAATGACTGGCATGAAGGCTGGCCTTGATGTTAATGAAGAGGAACATATAAAAATGAAGTTTCCATGTATGAAACTGATCTGGATGAACTATGATATTAGCTAGAGTAGAAATAAGTCTGATCGTGTTTTTGCTGTTCTTCTGGCCCTCTGATGGAAAGAGCAAGTAACAACTGCTGCTACGCATTTTTCTCACTTTTTTCCCCCTAAAATAATGAAACCACCATGGAAACCAAAGGAAGAGGTAAATGTAGGTGTTATAACTCCAAATGAGATTTTTAATTCTGTCCTACCATCTACATATCCTCTTCTTTAACATATCATCCCCCCCTCCCATCTCTGTTATTAGGAAAAGACATGAGTTTTGATTTTTGAGTCCTTCTGATCCTAATTAGGAACAGTCTCAACTCATTTCACTCATCTTCCTCGCCCAGTGAAATCTACCATTTACCACCCTTGTTAGTATCTTGATGTGTGACATTTTTCTTCCACTTAATGGTAGCTCTTGAGTACCCGGTATGTATATATCAAGGGTAAATCCTTCACAGATGACATTCTTTACATGGATCTGCCTCTTCTTAGGTGTGAGTACCTCAGTGACTGAAAGGTATAGTGGAGTTGTGTCAAACACAATTAGGACATCTATTGTCTTTGAAAACCACTGATTAACATTTTTATGTTTTATTGTATTTTTATTTACTTCGCTAAACATTCCCCAATTACATTTTAATATAGTTCAGGTTGCTTGAAGGAGTGTTGTTGGCTGCATGCAACTATTAGACCAAGAGTTTGACATTTCTGGTATGGTGGAGAAAGAGTGGGCCTTAGTCAAAAGTTAAAAAATTTGGGAGCTGGAGGCAATCTTGGTAACCAGCTAGTCTACTCAGAAATAAAAAGGAATCTTTATTATACAAGATAAGTGAGGAAGTAGCTTCTATTTGAAGACTTCTGAGGAAGAGGAACTAACGACCTTCCATGGTTGTCCATTCCATATATGGGCAGCTCTTATTGTTCAGGAGTATTTTTTTTTCATTCTTTCTCTCCCCTGCTGATGATTTTTACATTGGTCTCTTTGCAACTTTTCATCATTGTCCCCTGGGCTCAAGTTTTGAATCTTAATGACTATATGACCCAGAGCAATAACCTTTCAGTACTTCAGGCAACATACTAAATAAGAATGTGGGTTACAAAAAGTGTCCTGTTTGAATTAAGGAGTTTCCTCATTGGGAGTTATCTACTTTGATGGAATCACAGGTCTGACAAATACAAATCTCTGTGGTGCTGGAATCCTAGACTTTTCAAGTTGGAGGGACCTTAGAAGTCATGCAACTCAAACCTTCTATCCAGTTCTAGAATCATCTTTGCAAAATCCAGGGAGCTGATCATCCAACCTCTTCTTGACCACTTCTAGGGGCCTAAGAGGAGAGGACCATATAGAGTTAAGCTGGCTCACCAAGAGGTCAAGATGAGGAAAAGAGGAGAGGCTAGTACAGAGGTGGTGGCCTGGGAAAGAAGTAAAGAGTTGAGGAATTATCAGACAATTCCATTACCTTGGTATAGGCCCTCATTGTATCATGCCTTGACTATTTAAATCATCTGTGGTTGGTCAACCTGCCTCAAGTCTCTCTTCACTCCAGTCCATTCACTATTCAGCTCTCAAAGTGATCATTTTAAAATGGAAGTCTGACTATCCCAATCCTTTCTTTTTTTAAGATAAAAATATCCCCCAATCTTTTTGCTATGCAAAAATTCATTAAGAATTTTAACTGTGTATGTTGCAATATCCTGTTCATGGAAGAACTGTTATACATTAGGGATTAGGCAAATGCAGGATGGAAAAAAGGACATCCTCTTCATGTGTGTATTTGCATGTTAATGCCACCATTTGAATCTGAGTTTCTTGAGAGCAAGGACTATATTTTACCTTTCTTTGTATCTCCAGAACTTAGCAAAGTCCATGGCACATAGTATGGACTTAATTAATGCTATTTCATTGGTGGAGTGATTGAGTGACTGATGTGTGCCTTTCTAAACAGTTGGAGGAGCACAAATTTGGGCCAGAAACAGAGCTACTGTAGGAGGCAAGATATGGAAAATTCTGAGGGAATTGACCTCTTTTAAAATTCTACTTATCTCCCCAAATCTCTGATTTTACATAGTGACTACTTGCATTCTAAGTTCCATTATGAGCTGTTAGTACTTAATTTCTTATATATCCCTACATACATATACACATAGACATATATCTGCATATGTGGATATAAGAAACTAAATACAAATAAATCACACACACACACACATAGTATATGGGGAGCATATCTTCCTTCTGATCATGTGGTCTTCAGTATTGTTTTAGGTTGCTATTTCAAAAGATTTATTCACCATCTCTGTGTAGAACCTTACTTAAAATGAGAATGCAATAAATTTGAAATATTAATTTTGCAAAGTGAAGTTACCGAGAATATATTAAGCACTTATTCTGTGCCAAGTGCTGTGCTAAACACAGAATAAGAAAAAGAAACAAAATGAAGATAATCCCTGCCCCCAAGGAGCTTACATTCTATTAAGGGAAGACAATGTATCCAAAGGAACTTGAAGATCTGGGTAGATGATAGGTGTAAGACAGAACATGCACAGGTATATTGTAGAAAATGAGATCCAGAGAATCAAAAGTATAGACCAAAGGAGAATGAAGGAGAGATATAACTAGCCTAGCCCTTCATTGATATGGAGGTTTTGGGAGCAACTGACCAATCAGAGGAAGAGACTTCTTCGGTGGAGGGTCCTTCTGGGGTGTGAAGGCACTAGGGAAAGGAAAGAAGCATTTATTAAATGTTTATTATATGTTAGGCACTGACATAATGAGGATACAAATACAGCAAAAACCTAGACAATCCCTGCCCTTAAAATGCATACATTCTAAATGAAAAAGGTAACATTGATAAAGGAATTAAAGGTGGGGAGGGAGAGAAGGGAGTAGGGAAGATGAAAGTACCTGGCATGGTGGTAGGGTTTTGAAATCTGGAAACTCAGGAGCATGGCCATAAGAGGGATTGGCTTAAGTACCTCCATAAAATGGAGGTCCCAAGCATTACTAACTAATGAGAGAAAAGAACTGAATATTCTAGGGTCAGAAATCCACTGGAGCACTTGGATATTCAAAAGTAAAGAGGAGCCAGGGGCTAAATGAAGGCACAGGATGAGCTAGCAGCAGAGGATATGGTCATGAAACCTAGAATGGCAGAAGTAGTTTCAGGAGG